ACAAATCCATATACTTGACATATAATAAGCCAAACCTATTCTGCTTATGAGTTTTACATGTCCTGTTAAATTATCAAGATTCATTCTTGGAGTAGAGAATGAAATTTAATATGGAAAAAATGGGAACACATACATATACCAAATATATACTTTGTTTTGAAAATTCTCATACATTCATCATCTGCTTAACAGTTTTGCAGAATGATTAATAAACTAATCACAGATATACACTCCATAGATTATATGTTTGTTATATGTCTGATGTACATATATCACATAATTGTCAAAACTAATATCATATAATTGACTTATAAAAAAGGAACATCAATGGAATTACAACATTATAACTGGAAGATTGAAAGGATCAGCACACTAAAGAAAAGAAAAAAGCACATACTACAGTCATTTTCATCTAACAGTGTGACAAAAACATGACAAAATTATAACAAAAAAAGTCAAAAACATAAAAAAAAATCATCAACTTAGGGCTACAGAACAAGATTATTTATTCAACGAACAGTGTGATGACCATGACAAATTATTCATTAACAAAAACCAATTAACTGAAAAAAAAATACCTTAAACACTATCTGGTTCTGAAGACGTTGCACGCCGGGGTTCGGTTTTCTTCTTTTCTTGTTCAGATTAACTTCACCTTTCTCTTTTTGAATCCTTTTTTTGTTTCTCTTGTTGAAAATTTCCACCGGGGATTCCTCTTCGCTCAAATATTCTTCACTAGAGACGTCTTCTAGTTGAATTTCATCTTCAAAATCGGAGTTGGAAGAATTACCCTCTCAGTGGAATTGGGGATTTTGGATTTATGGTACCGCCGCATGTTTTTTGGATTTTTACGGCCGTGGTCGGACTGGAAATCATCTGAATCAGAGGATGGAACTTGCTTCTTCATCCTTGCGTTGTCGGTGGACTTGCGATTAGGGTTAGGTTTCGTTTTTTTTCTAAAAAACAAGCTTCTTCTGAATGAGTTTGGGCTTTGATTTTGAAATGATATTCCGAAGCCGGGAACTTGACCTTATCTGCGGTGTTTCTTCGCCGTCGTTCGCCTTTTTTCTCCGAGGATCGCGGGTGATTTTGGTTTTCGCCATTGACGGGAGGTTTTTTTTTCCTTCTGCAAGATATTCTCGTTTCCCGAATTGTCGCGAGAGAATATGAAATGTCCTTATCGGTTTAATCTTCATTAATTATCGGATATAACTGCAACACCATTAGTTTAGGTAAATTAGCAATATTTTATGATGTTTTTGGTGATTGTATAATTATTTAACTAATGGTGGTAAATTTATCATATATCAGGGAAGAGGAAGTTGTTGTGTACAAATTATTTTTATTTTACCGAGCACCGAATCAAATGATTCGTTTCCCGGGTCGATCTCTCGAGGAAGACTGTTCGGAATCTAGAATTGGTGTTGATAACACATAAAAGAAAAATAAGTCCTACACATTCTAATCATGATAGAGTTGGAAAATGATTAACTAAAATATTAACTAATAAATAACATAAAACGATAATCTATCTAAAAATATAAACGATATAAATATAAAGATGCTAGGAAATCGGGAATAAATATTTGAATCGAGATGCAATCATCGGCTCGTGATTGTTCGGTTAAATAATTCGAGTCACCTACACGTTTAGAGATTCATCCTCAATACCTTTCGGATTATGAGAATAAATATAAACGGTAAATT